CTCGGTGCTGTTCTTGTTCCACTAATGCCTAATCAGTTGAAACATGAAATGAATATTGGATTTGGTATTAAATATTGAAGGACCCTCCTCAGATCTTCAGCAGCTGAATCATGAACTCCTAAGATCCCTGCCTTGCCATCTGCATCTGCTTGCTAACAGGAACAGGACAAGAAAGACTTTGTGGCAAACTCCCTTGGGCACTGCTGACTGGAGCCTTGTCTCAACCCAGAGATTGCTATCAGCTTCCCAGAACTTTGACACTGATCAGATTAAAGCATGCATCCAAAACTTTAGCTGATCACTATCCCCGGTCAGGAACAATAGCTCCAAATATGACAGAAACAAATACTGTATATGCTAAGAGATGAGAAACTGAACATTTCTATTTCTATTCTCCTGGATTTGCTCAGAAGTAAAGAAGAACTGAGCATGGATTTAGCAATAGACTGTTTCTACCAGGGATAGCTTTAGATTTTAGTTTGGAATAACCTAACTTTGCTTCTAAAAGGAAGCGACATGTTAGGAGTGCTCCATTATTTCACTTTCCCCACCCTACACAAAATGAACAGAATTGCCTAAATTTGTAGTTTGTTAGAATTTAGCACCTTCCATTCATCTATCTTATTTTCTTATAACACATGATCAATGCATAGGAGCACAATAAGGCAACCCTGACTAGCATGTGTGAGGATTGCATCAAGAACTGTTGATGTAATATACATAGCAATAGCACTTAGCAATACACTTAGATTTATATACCACTTTACAGACCTCTCTAAGCCATTTACAGAGTCAGCATATTGACCCCAACAATCTGGGTCCTCATTTTATCGACTTTGGAAGGATGGAAAGTTGAGTCAACCTTGAGCTTGGTGAGATTTGAACTGCCAAATTGCAGGCTGCTGGCAATCAGCAAAAGTAGCCTGCAGTACTGCACTCTAACTACTGCGCCACCGTACATATGGTGTTTTATCTGGGTGCATCTTTTGTGCAAAGATAAAACACTGTAACACAAAGGCAGACTTGACTTGATTTTAAATACAGTTCTATCAATATTTTTTTGTGTGATGTGCTGTGTGCACTGCACCCATAAAAGAATGCACACACACACACATACAAAAGCAAACAACAAAAAAAGGATACAATCATACATATAATAATATCAATTTAAAGGTTGCACCTATCATGGCCATTTTTGAATGGCTGGTCCTCAAGGATAAACCATATGATTGCATGTCGTGTTATATTGTAGCAGATATTTGTCCTGTCTTGCACTAGTTAAAGAGAAGTCAGGCAACTGCCATATGATAAAAATGTCATAGTAAGTCAGATAGATTAAGAATCATTGGAACCCATGGACATTTGAGCATTATGCCCTGCAATGCTGAAATGTACATAGAAAATACAAATCAAAATAAATTAAATTAAAAGAAAGATATTTTTAAAAATTGAAATACTGAATTTTCATGGGCATAAGAGTCATCTTGCTAAGACGGACAGAAGATCCTGTTGAAAATAAGTAAAGTTAGTGTTATGTCCTGAGGACTCAAGGAGTTCTCACTCAGGTCCACTCACTTTACGTGGGCGTTATTTCCCCCATTCCCATTGGTTGGCTCTCCCCAGCAGCCAGCTATAAAAGCAGGCTGCGGGGTCCAACCGGTTGCTGATTGCTGCGAGCCAGTTCCAGGCTTGGCAAGCACGGTCAGCCCTTTATTGTAAAATAAAGTATTGTTGCACTCATGCTCTGGTTCAGCCTCTCATTGCTCAAACAAAACAGTTAGGAGATGCAAATAGCTGAAAAATATTGAAAAATGAGGATGCCTTTGAAGGCTAGCCATCATTTGGGAAAGGCTGCTTGCTTGATAAAACTTAACCCTTTTGTAACCAGAGTTTCTGTTTGTTTTCGTTCTTTCCTTGTTCATATCTCTTCTCCTCCTTCCAATTTTTTTCTCCCATTTCTCTTTACCGCTAGAACTGTTCCTTACTCTCATCTCCTATTCAGCCATTCTCCCCCCACCTCACTTCTAGTGATGAATGGAGAAAGAGGAACATGTGTTTACATGCATACGTGTTAGTTTCTATGAACAAAAGTGGTTGGTATGAGCAAGACAGAAAGGCTGGTATATGCAGATAAATTAATTTTTTAAATTGAATTTTTCTTTTACAAGCGATGAATTAATTTTATTTATGTACAGGGCTCTTATTTTACAGGCAATGAATTAATTTTATAATGGTTACTTTATTTTATAGGTAATTAATTTCAACCAGTGGCTATTAATTAATTTTTGTTTTGTCCTATCCATGCCCTTTTCTAGAGTGTGGTTTCACATACTCTCACATACACACACACCCAGCAGACACACACACACACACACACAAATACAAATTCATGCCTATTTAGAAAGGGAGGAATCCCTAGGATGGATTTCACCTGGAATAACAATTTTAAGTTAACAAGGAGGAAAAGCTGGGTATGTCACAGGATGCTTTCTCGTATTTATGGTTTATTTTTCCTTCTTTTTTCCTCCCTTTGAGATTTATTTTGTTTTTTATTTTGTTTGATTTGTCAATTGCTTACAAGATAATAGGTATAAGTAAAAACATAGTTATGAATACATGGATACATATAAGAAAAATAAAAGAAAAAATAGGACAGGGACGGTAGGCACGTTGGTGCGCTTATGCAGACCTCTTAGGAAAGGGGTGAAAGATGAGAGGACTTTTGTTCGTACTAGTAAATATGGCATTGCCCACCCATGCCAATTTAATATTCCTCTGGCAATTTTGCAGGAAATGTGTGGCATGTTTTCCAAGATAAGACAGGCTTGGGTTATAGAGAAAAACATTCTCCTGCTTCGGGCAAAAAAAACCAAACACCAATACCAAAACAGAATAATGAGTAGTTTCTTCTTTTAAAGCATACCATCATTGTTAATAAGGTAATCTATAGCTTGCTTTTTTAAAAAAAATCCATCATAATAGGTTGTGATCATTGCTGATACAGGGAACAGAAGAGAAAAACAACACACTGGGTTAATTGTGCAGCTTGGAAGTTCTTTTATTGTTCTGTGTCTTTCTTGAAAGCATTTTGCTACCAGCCAGAAAGAGCTGGGGGAATTGGTTACACCAGGTGCAGCTGTATTTAATAGTTGTGTTTATCACTGTGCTTGACATGATCTACTTAGACAGAGAGACTGAGAAATTGCTTGATTTTACCCTTGCTAATTTTGTGAAGCATCTTCTAGCAGATAGCAGCAAAACAACTATTTTTCCCTCTCCTTGGGTGAACCTAACAAAGAATCTCTACCAATTTCCTTGCCTTCATTCCTCTGTATGGCCAAACAGCAGCGGTGGAGTGAAAAACAACCACAACCCACTGTCCTGATTTTCATTCTTGCCTGGTTTTCAGATTGGATAGATGCTCTGGTAAACATCTCCATTAAGTACCATAGTCAGCATTATGTGGGACTACCCTTATTTTTGGTCTGAAAGTTGCATCTGGTAAGATCTAAAGCAGCCAGGATTCCTTACACACACAATTGCACTGGCTGGCTCAAGATTTTTATTGTGCCCATACAGACAATTAGGGATCAAAATTTTTGGTGGAATGACTTTGGATTAGATTTGGCAATCACAAATGTCCTTTAAATTATTCACTGGGGAAAATAAAGACAGATTTCTGCTTATCAGCAGGAATATTAAGCTCATGAGAGACCCACTTTTGATTTTCCATAAGGTCCATTTTTCTCTATTCATCCTTCTAAAAACAAAAAAGGTAAAATTTGCTCCTGCCAAGTCATGTTTAACTCTAGGGGGTGCAGTGTTCAGCCTTGGGAGTCAGCATTGTCCAAAGATGCTTCTGTGGTCATGTGGCCAGCATGACTATATGCCGAGGTGCATGGAACACTGTTACTTTCCCAGCAAGTTGGTACCTATTTATCTACTTACATTTGCATGTTTTCGAACTGCTAGGTTGGCAGGAGCTAGGGGTCCATCTCTCTACATCCACCCAAAAGTGAGGGTTTTGCATTCCCTGGTAGCCAAGTAGACATGGAGACATGGAACCCAGTTGTTGTATACTGGGACGCAGTCCTTCAGTGAACTGAGGTCCTCTGAATCGCCAAAGCTCCTCCTCCTTGAAGTAACATAGAATGTCTTCAACTTCAACTCTCCATAGGGAAATACATCACTCTCCTACCAGATCACTTTGATCTGGTTTCAGTATGCCCCAGTACAAAGAACAGACTGGAAGAAGATGCCTTCAATAAATGGAATCTCAGAATCAGAGCAAAGTGCTGGTCTTTTTTTCCTTCACAACCATCCATCTATTTCTTTTTTGATCTTCTTGGCTTTCCTAGTTTCTATTAAACCTCAGAGATCCCAAGGGAAGTGTATTCCCCTGTCCCTCCACCAACAGTGTAAACAATCAGGGAGACTGTGCAAAATGTATGGTAGGAAATAACCCACTAATAGGATCTTCCAACTATCACTGCAATCTCTAACAGAAACAACTAAATAAAGTTAAAAAAATACTACCTACTGAACTTCCCCCCAAAAAAATCTGTTCTGTTTTTACAAGGTTAGAAAACTTTTGAGAATTTGCAAGTCCTATTAATTAAGGCTACCTCATTATGACTAATTAAAGGGAAGCTCAAAAACAAGGCAGGAAAATCCTCATAATTTTTGTTTCCAGAACTTGATACTGAGAGGAAATTTGGAAACACAAAAAATAGTTTTTCAACAAGGATGTCATATTCACAAAGAAAAACTGTAAACTCATTTAGATTTTATCTGAATGTATGGAATATGAAAAGCATGCAGCAAAAATGTCATAAAAAGGACATTTTAAGAAACAACAACCCTCTATTAATTCTTCAATTAAAACCATAGTTTTAACCCTTAATAGTTTAAGAGATAACTCATAACAGAATAACAGAGTTGAGGGAAATAAATAAAGTTCTTCCCCAGTTTTGACTTTGCAATGTGATATTTCCACATACCTGTATAAATAAATCTACCAGGAGCTCCTTTGCAAAATTGTTTGGATTTGTACGATAATGTTACTTCAACCACGCCAGGGATGTGACGAGGTGGTGTTTGGACACGGATGGCATGTGGGGTGATCAGCTGAGAATAAAAAGAGAAAACATGTTGAGACAGTTATGACAACCGTGATTTTGCCAGAAAAGTAGCACCCATTCTCAGTGTATGCCTGTTGATGAATCTGTGGGTCAAAATTGAATATAAGGAAACTTTCCCAGTATTTGAAAAAGTGCTGAGTTATTTGGGTCAGCTCCAGATAAGCATCTCGGGTCAAAAATTAAACAGGAAAAAGGTTTTGCTAGTATAGAAAAATACCAGAAAATTTCTGTGCCTACCTCACTCCACACAAGCATGGTCCCAAATACGACTTGAAGCCCATCAAAAAAGTTGTCCCCTATAATGATCACCATTGCTCCACCAGTGGTCCAGCCTTCACTTGGACTAATTGCTTTGATGCATGGGGTGGCTAAAGAGAAAAGTTGCAGGAGAAAAAAAAGAAAGGGAGAATGGAGTTAGCTTTCGGATGAAGCTCCTATGAAACTTCCTTTGATGGTTATATGGCTCCCAATTTCTCAGCTATCTTACATAACAGAAATCTAGCACAAGGCACAATGATACCTCTTACAGGAACTGTGGAAACATAACACTGAGTTGCAAATTATCAAACACACACACACAACTCATGAGCTCTCCCAATCTCATAAGCTTCCTTTAGTCGTGAATTGCAATCTTACACTATATGGCAAAATGTTACATTATATGGCAACCCATTTCAACCATTTAGATTAATTTTCATCATCATTTGTGGTTGTCTGTATTATCACCCTCAGTTTGTCCTGGAGCCCTGAAGAGACTGCTGAGCTTTCTTTTCCTGGAAGATCTCAGCCAAGAAGATCTATTCCAAAGAAGCTTGTTCAAGTTTGCTTAGCAGGGGTTTGCCAAAGGCAGAGAGAAAGGATGAAATGTGTGCCTAAAATAGATGCTGAAAAGACCTTTTTTTACCCCATATTCTCTTGTTTCTGGATAGTTTTGGAAAATTCTTTTGCTTTTCAGTGATTGTCCATCTTCTATGCTGTCAAGCATTTAGGACAATTCACATGAGAATTTTCGTTCGGTTTCTATGGTTTGCCACCTCCCTGCCTTGTCTGGGAACTGAAGTTTGGAGAACTACTGAAGATTCACACTATGCATTTTGCTTCCTTGCTGGAATTAAGACACTGGCTTAAAACATGAAGAGAAAGCAAGATTTCCTCCATCATATTTACTGAAAGGACCACAAATGACTGGGTTCATATAATGCATTAAACCACAAAGAAACAAATTAGTGTTCTACGTAGCCAGGGAGAAAGAAGTCAGGTAAATTGGGATGATAAATAATGGTTATGATTTCCTGCATTTAATTCCTCTGAGAGCTTGAGATGAGGTACATGGGAAGGATTCATGCAATTTTGCACTCAATGAAATCGCTATGAAGCAGGTGATGGTGATGATGATGGAGAGAAAGAGAGAAAGAGGGAGGGGAGGGCACCCAAAGTCTTGCATTAAATTCCCTTCAACAGGAAGTGTTAGTGGACTCACTAGTCCAAATTCTGCACCCGAATCATTACATGACATCTATTCTGCATAATAGCAATAACATTTAGATTTATATACTGCTTCACAGTGTTTACAGCCCTCTCTAAGTCAGCGTATTGACCCCAACAATTTGGTCCTCATTTTACTGACCTCAGAAGGATGGAAGGATGGGTCAACCTTGAGCTGGTGAGAATCAAACTGCCAAACAGCTGGCAGCTGGCAGTCAGCAGAGGTAGCCTGTGGTACTGCATTCTAACCACTGTGCCACCACGGCTTTTGCATAAGGGTTGTCTTATCAAATTTTACTGGAAAGAAGGCACTGAATGATGTTTAAATCATTTCAATTATTTGATAGTGTAAATTACAGCTGTTAAAGCATTTTAATGTTAATTCAACTCTGGCAATTTTATATTGCCTTGCATTCTGAGCCTCCTAGTTTAGGTTAGAGGTGAACAACCCACAGCCTCAGGACTGCATATTGCTCCTGAAATCCTTCTCCATAATGGCTCCAGAGATCTTTAAAAGTTGCTACCAAGTTGTAATCTACTTAGTGATTGTGGAGAGAAATGATTAAGCATGACATGCAATGTTTGTTTGTTTTTGTTCTGTCTCCACCCGTGATTTTTTGAAGTGCAGCCACCACCCATTGCCAAGTGTGGCTCATAGCTCCTCAAAAATTATACAAATATTCTCCAACTTATGACCACATTTGAGACCAAAATTACCAAGGCATTTGCCCCATTTTGTGACCTTTCTTGCCACAGTTGTTAAGGGAATCACTACAGTTTTTAAGGTTAACCTAGTGATTAAAATGAATCTTGCTTCCCCATTGACTTTGCCTGTCAGAAATCTGCAAAAGATGGTCACACGCTTTTGGGGCAGCACAACTATTACAAATAGGTGCCAGTGGCCAAGGGTCCAAATTTTGACCACGTAACCATGGAGATGCTGCAACAGTCATCATGCCATTTTTTTTCATTGGCATTTCAAATGGCCACTAAATGAATGGTTGTAATTTGAGAACTACTGTACAGTTCTTCCCAGAGGGAACACACTGGCCTTTTTTTAGTAAATATTTTTCACAGACCAGTTGTGTTGCAAAAGATAGTGAACTATAAGCAGCAGTGGGATTCAGCCAGTTCACACACGCACACACCCATCAAAGTGGATCCTGGGTGTCGTGCTGCAGTGGAGAAATGGGCAACGGAGTGGCTGGCATGAGGAAAGAAAAAGGCTGCTTTCCAGTGGTGGGATTCAAAAAAATTTACTACCAGTTCTGTGGTTATGGCTTGGTGGGCATGGTGTGACTTGGCGAGTGTGGCTTGGTGGGCATGGCAAGGGAAGAATACTGTAAAATCTCCATTCCCACTCCAGGGGAAGGATGCTGTAAAATCTCCATTCTCTCTCTACTCCTAGGGGAAAGTTACCACCAGTTCTCCAAACTACTCAAAATTTCTGCTACTGGTTTTCCAGAACTGGTCAGAACCTGCTGAATACCATCTCTGCTGCTTTCCTTCTTTCTTCTCCCTGCTCCTCTTCCTTCCCTCATGCCAGCCTCTCCATTGCTCATTTTTCCATTGCAGCACAGCACCCAGGATGCACTTTGATAGCAGGTGAGTGAGTGAGTAATTTAATAACCGGATCACCCAGGTTGGCCATTGAGGGAGGCTCGTCCCACATGTGCGGTGCAGCTGGAGGATGGGGATGGGCCACACCTCCCATGACAGCCAACCTGACCCTGGCTGAACTGGTTGGTAAATTATTTGAACCCCACCAGTGTCTATAAGCCAGGAAACTGGCTTGATTTGGACCAAGCCAAAATTCGAGCCTGCCTGAAAGAAAGAAGGATACAAAGCTGAGAGACAGTTGTAATGAAATATGAATACACTCAATGGTAGACCATGTGTATTCTCTACAGAAATCCCCAAGGGATTTAGATAGCCAGAGTGAGAATTCCACCTGGGTCTCTGGAGAGTAGCTACTACATATCAGTCAGTACTTGATTAGACGCATGACTGAATCTTGAACTGGATTAAAGTAGCGATCAGCAGAAATAAAGGACTCTGCCAGGGAAGCGAATCACAGTTGAGGTACTTGCCAATTTCATACAAAGCATTTACAGCGAATTCTTCTTTTTAGTTGCTTGCTCATTTCAAAAAGGCAGGGGTGTCTTCCAGGGGACAAGCCCTACCAAAGTGGCTGATACGGCAACATCATGGAATAAGTCATTGATCATAAACGTTTCCCTCAATTGAGAAAATAAAAATTATAAAAAGAGAGAATGCTATTAAAAGAGCAGCTGTTTATAAAACTTAGCTTGAAAGGAAGATTTCAGAAATAGGTTGAGATTCAGTAAAATAGAAATCATTTCTGATACATCATGTTTTCTTCAGCAATAAATTCCATCCTGATATTCAGACTGACAGTTTAAATAATTCACTGTTCAAACTTCGATACTTTCCAATAGCAGATTTTTTTTTAAAGGATGGTTTACTTTTATCTTCATATTTAGATTTTATTTTATTTTTAATTTTTTTAAAAAAACTATATATCACTCTGAGAATCCCAACAGATTGAAAACAGTAAATACTTTTAATGAAATGAAATGAATAAAATATTCATGCTTGGAACACATAAGATCAGTAAATAATCCAACTGCCTTGGCTCATAACTCTTTCTAAAATCCTGTACCATAGGCTAAGATCACCACCCCCAAAAGCAAAAAATAGTTTCTTCTGCCTCTGCTGTTAATATCTCCACATTCTGATAAATCGAAGAGACCAACAGAAATTTCCTCACCAATCGCGGTGAGGAAAAATCTGCTGAGAAACTTTTTTTTCTGTCAGAGTGTTACAACTGAGAGTCATCCACGTACAGTAAATGTGGAGAAACTCAATACAGGTGCTTCTTTAAATACTACTGCATATAAACTATAGAGTTTGCTGCATGAGATGTGATGATAGCCACCAAGTTAGAAAAAATTATGGAGGATCTTTCTATCAATGGCTCCAAGCCTTGCGGGAATCGCAAGCGGCAGGGTTTAATTATTATCTGCTAGGGAACAGCAATGATTGAGGCCTAGATCCATCTTTGCTGTAGACCTCTTCCCACAACACGCTTATCTGGGACAATTAGGGACTTAATATGTTGTGATTAAATGACCCAGTTAGCCAATCCCCAAAGGATCACAGTTAACCCCAAATAGGCTCAGTGCAAGGTGAAACCAATTCCACCCACTCAGTTGTCACATGAAACATTTAAATCCTAATCTACTTTGAACCTTGGATCACAGCTAAACTTAAGCAGCTACGTCATTCCAAAGAAGAAGCCTACAGAAAAGGTGACAGAATGCTATATAGTCAGGCCAGAAACATATTAACAAGAGAGATCAAAGTAGCTGTATGACTGTATGACTGTAACTTTGTCACTTGTATCCTTACGATCTATATTGACTGTTTCCTAGTATGATTTGATTGCTTATTGTACCCTATGACTATTATTAAATGTTGTACCTTATGATTCTTGTCTCTTGATGAATGTATCTTTTCTTTTATATATACTGAGAGCATTTGCACCAAGACAAATTCCTTGTATGGCCAATAAAGAATTATATTCTGTTCTATTCTTCTAAGAAAGACAAATGCAGAAAAAGAGTGGTTTGGAAAAGTAAACTCCATTATCAAATTCATTTCTAAGATCTAGCAGTACAGACCCTTCTCCCAAATTCAGAGGAATTGCAGCAACAAGATTGTGTTATAATTATAATACTAATGTCAGGAAACCTTTCTAATCTTTCAGTGCTATAAAAGTTTATAAGCCATTTGTTAGCAGAAACAGTCAGGGATATTCCCAGAATGGAATTCCTCAAAAGGTAGAACTGAAAGGAAGAAA